GTGAAGATATGTTAAGTCAAGAGATGGTGTGAGTGGCGCCACTGGCGCCATCCTGCTACCCTCCCACCTCCTACCTGCCTCCAATTTCCATTTTCTGTAACTTATTTCCCGTTTTCTATGCATTCTTCTGCGTTTTGGCGGGATTGTCATAACATTTACGGGGAGCAGTAAAACCGTATGGGTTACACAGCTCGTGCAGGGATGAAGGCTTTCACATTATATTCTTGGAAATGAAGCAAAAATTCAATTACATTGATCAAGAGCCCCTCAAAAGCATCAAGGAACCTCCTTTGAAAATATTTGCGGGAATAATCAAATTAAAGGCAATACTTTAATTAAATAACAATAATGACGGAATGGCAAACTCCGAATAATCCTATCACAAGTTATATAAAAACATTACCCTGGTGGTTAACGCTCTCGCTTCACACTGTGAGGGCCCGGGTTCGATTCCCAGCCAGAGTAGAAACATTGGACGTGTTTCTTTCCACCTGTTGTCTATGTTCCCCATCAGTAAAATGGGTACCTGGGTGTTAGTCGACTGGTGTGGGTCGCATCCTGGGACACTGACCTAAGGAGGCCTGGTCACAGACCGGGCCGCGGGGGCGTTGACCCCCGGAACTCTCTCCAGATAAACTCCAGAATAAATATAACATCACTTTCTATTTTTTTTTTTTTTTTCAAAATTTTACTTGCCTAATTTTACAGTACGTAATTATCACGAAGTCACTTAATAATGTTTCCAACACAACTAGGTTACCCTCCCAATAATTAGGCTACAGTATTTTTAAATATTCATCTAGAAGCTTCTAGATATTCCAGGACAAATATTGTGGCACTATATTTTTCTAAGTCATTTTACTGCGTGAGTTTATCAACGATCTACAGAACCATTAACACATTTACTCTGCTGATCTTACCAATTTATATAAACTATATTTAAAATTAGGTTAACACTAACATACAATTTATCTGCATTTTTTATTCTAATGAAAGGGAAGCGCTAAACCTGTAAGGGTCATACTACACCTGGGATGCATAAAAGTTGAGAATAACTCAGTTATCTTGGATCAAGAACCCCCGTATTGACATCGAGGTGCCTTCCTTGACTGAGGGAAACAGTAACGTCTATCTCTTACCTTAATAAGCGATGCCCAGATGATCAAGACTTCTTAGCACCAACAACACATATTAACACACCGAGTGATACCACCAGAGTGGCGCCGCTGGTCGCCACCCCGCACCGCTCACCTTATTATTGGCGCCAATTCCCCGTTTTCTATAATTTAATTTCCCGCCACTACTGTACATGGCTGTAACTCCTATTCCTTGGCTCGAGATCTCTTCACCAGCATCAACACATTTGTTTCTCTTTCACAAGAGTGAAAGGTTGAGGCTGAGTCAACTTTTCATTAATTTCCGGCTAGTCACCACTCCCCCCCTCTCGCCCACATCAATCACCCCAATACATTACGAGTCAAAATGCTAACCAAATATCAAAGTCACCTACATAATAAACGAAAATTATCGCTATTATAAAAAATACTTAATAATATGTACTTTAATAAGTAGAAAAGTGACAGGAAAATGAAACATTCAGGCTTGATCCAAGGAAGATGAAGGCAGGATACCAGTCAAGTGATAGTGTGAGTGGCGGCCTCCTGCTACACTCTCACCTACTTGCCGCTAATTCCCAGTTTTCCCGCTGTATAGCCCTTGTGGCTTAGCGCTTCCTTTTTGATTATAATAATAATCCCAGTTTTCCAAAACTAGGTTAACCCCCCCCCACCCACCTACCAATATGGTAAGGCTACGGTATTTTTAATATTCATCTAGAAGCTTCTAGATGGTGCCACAATATATAAATTCTAGAAGGCTAAATTATCCTCGAATTTATTTTTCTATGTCATTTTACTGCGTGAGTTTATGAACGATCTACACGAACCATTAACACATTTACTCTGCTGCTTTTACCAGATTTATATGAACTACATCTAAAATTAGGCTAGCACTAACATACACTAATTAATCTGCATTTTTTATTCTAATAGAAGGGAAACGCTAAACCTGTAAGGGTCATACAGCACCTGGGATGCATATGAATGGAGAATAACTCAGTTATCTTGGATCAAGAGCCCCCGTATTGATACGGCTTGATAAAAAACCTGGAGAGCGAAACGTTGCCACAATAAAATGTCCTATTAGTTGCATTTGTGTCCTTTTACTTTACATATTGTCGGAAATTCTACCAAAATATGTACTTTATTGCCTTCCCAACATATTTAGTAGAGCGAGGCTTGAGTGCAGTCAAGAATTTTTCCAAATAAAGAAACAGACTGAGTAAAACTGAATGCGGGGATCTAAGATTGTTAAATAAATTATTTTACTATGTTAATTTTTATTTGTGAAATACTCTTGTTTGTAGTGTTAGATCAGTTGTTTATTTTGAATTTGCAGTACACCTAGTACCAAGAAAGGTGTGTTCGTATGTCTGTGGGGAGAGGGGGGAGGGGGTGCTAGGTCACGTTACACAAGCATCCAGTGCTACTAGGTCACGTTACAAAAGCATCCAGTGCTACTATGGTCACATTGCACAAGCATCCAGTGTTACTAGGTCACGTTACGCAAGCTTCCAGTGCTACTAGGTTAGGCTACACAAACATCCAGTGCTACTACGTCACATTACACAAGCATCAAGTGCTACTAGGTCAAGTTACACAAACATCACTGTGCTACTAGGCCAGGTTACACAAGCATGAATTGCTACTAGGTTTGGTTACACAAGCATCCCTTGCTACTAGGTCAGGTTACACAAGCATTCCTTGTTACTAGGTCAGGCTACACAAGCATCCCTTGCTACTAGGTCAGGTTACACAAGCATCTGGTGCCACTAGGTTAGGTTACACAAGCATCCCTTGCTACTAGGTCAGGCTACACAAGCATCCCTTGCTACATAGGTCACATTACACAATCATCCGGTGCTACTAGATTTGGTTACACAAGCATCCAGTGCTACTAGGTCAGGCTTACACAAGCATCCAGTGCTACTAGGCCAAGTTACACAAGCATCCAGTGCTACTAGGTTAGGTTACACAAGCATCCAGTGCTACTAGGTTAGGTTACACAAGCATCCAGTGCTACTAGGTTAGGTTACACAAGCATCCAGTGCTACTAAGCAAAGTTACACAAGCATCCAATGCTACTAGGTTAGGTTACACAGGCATCCAGTGCTACTAAGCCAAGTTACACAAGCATCCAGTGCTACTAGGTAAGGTTACACAAGCATCCAGTGCTACTAGGCCAAGTTACACAAGCATCCAGTGCTACTAGGTTAGGTTACACAGGCATCCATTGCTAATAGGTTAGGTTACACAAGCATCCAGCGCTAATAGGCCAAGTTACAAAATCATCCAGTGCTACTAGGTTAGGTTACACAAGCATCCAGTACTACTAGATTAGGTTACAAAATCATCCAGTGCTACTAGGCCAAGTTACACAAGCATCCAGTGCTACTAGGTTAGGTTACACAGGCATCCATTGCTAATAGGTTAGGTTACACAAGCATCCAGTGCTACAAGGCCAAATTACAAAATCATCCAGTGCTACTAGGGTAGGTTACACGAGCATCCAGTACTACTAGGTCAGGTTACAAAATCATCCAGTGCTACTAGGTTAAGTTACACAAGCATGCAGTACTACTAGGTCAGGTTACACAAGCATCCAGTGCTACTAGGCTAGGTTTCACAAGCATCCAGTGCTACTAGGTTAGGTTACATAAGCATCCGGTACTACTAGGTCAGGTTACACGAGCATCCAGTGCTACTAGGTCAGGTTACACAAGCATCCAGTACTACTAGGTCAAGTTACAAAATCATCCAGTGCTACTAGGCCAAGATACACAAGCATCCAGTGCTACTAGGTTAGGTTACACAAGCATCCAGTGCTACTAGGTTAGGTTACACAAGCGTCCAGTACTACTAGGTCAGGTTACAAAATCATCCAGTGCTACTAGGCCAAGTTACACAAACATCCAGTGCTACTAGGTTAGGTTACACAAGCATCCAGTGCTACTAGGTTAGGTTACACAAGCATCCAGTACTACTAGGTCAAGTTACAAAATCATCCAGTGCTACTAGGCCAAGTTACACAAGCATCCAGTGCTACTAGGTTAAGTTACATATGCATCCAGTGCCACTAGGTTAGGTTACACAACCATCCAGTGCTACTTAGGCTAAGTTACACAAGCATCCAGTGCTACTAAGTCAGGTTACACTAACATCCAGTGCTACTAGGTCAGCTTACACAAGCATCGCTGTGCTACTAGCAGTGTATGCCTGTGTAAGCTCTGGACATAGAGCTCCCATTCAGAGGCATTTTTTGAAAGTGTTGAGCTGCTTCTCCTTGGCCTTTTTTAATGATTTAACTGGGCCTTATTCCAGCTTCTGACACTCTTAAAGTAACTAAGGCCTTTTAGATACTTTTGAGAATATCTGTGCATCTCTCTGATCTCAAATTTTCACTGCGTTAAGGCGCAGCTTGTGGTATTGTACTCTAGCTCCTGTAGATTTTAGTAGTGTTGAGCTATAGCTTTCTATCTCATGAAAAAGGTAAGCTGCAAATTTTCAGCCACTGTAGAGTATTGGGAGTGCAGGGGGCTGGGAGTATTATGTCCAGTTATAAGTTTTCTCGCAAAAACTGAACTGGTTTGGGTCACAGAGCCGCCGGGCGAAGTCGTGAGCGTTGCCGGGTTCACGGAAGAGCCCTCTTTAGCCACCAGGCGTTCCCATAGCCACTTACTTGCAGAGCTCACTTCTAAGAATGGTACATAATTCAGACTTCCTATGTCGGAGTTTTTGTTTTAGAGATTATGAACGTAGCGAATATATATGATTTTTGTAGTTTTCTGGTGAAGAGTGTGTCGCTACGTCTGGCAACGGGAAGGACCACAGACAGGTATATATGTGCTGACCTGAGTGTTCTTGTTCTCTGAGACAGTCAGTAACCTCTATCCGCAGCAGCGTAGGTCAACACGCACGTGCAACCACTTAACGTCTCTCAGCACGTGCAACACTGATTCGAGTATTAATTCAAGCAGGACTTCCACAGTAAAAACGATACAAATATTCCAAGACAGCACCATGTCAGTAAGTCACCACAAAACCTCTCAATAATTGCTCCAGACCTACTGTACTAACTAGGAACCTCATATCAAACATTAACATAAAGAAGTTAATACAAGTCATTGGTTAATGGCGCGATTCAGTAAATATCTTAATGTTTACTTAATGAGTTTTGTGTTTAGTTCTTGTCCAAACTTCTGTTATTTTCTAGCTGTTGCCGGAGTTTTTCTTTGTTTAAACAATCTGGTTAGCTTAATCAGAAATTATCCTTAACTAATATAAACTAACGAGAAGGTACGATTGTGTAAGCTGTAAGGAATGAGAGACTGATATCATGGATCTGAAGTCAAGGTACATTATGTATAAATTCAATCTTGTACTATGATGCATGTCTTGCCATGTGAGAATTCACTTACATAATATTGTATTCTTGTAACTCCAGGAGTCACTTGTTAGACCAGGCCTGTAGCCTGTCCAGATCCCTTTGAAGCCCCCCCCCATATCTCGTCCACTTATATTTTCCTCATTAGTTTCACGTCGTTTGCGAACAGGGACACCTCTGCCTCTGTCCCTTCTGTCATGTCATTCAAATACACAAGAAACAGCACCGGCCCTAAGATTGATCCTTGTGGAACCCCACTCGTCACAAGCACCCATTCCGACACCTCATCACGGACCATCACTTGTTGTTTTCGACTTTTCAGGTATTTCCTGATCCATTTCAGTGCTTTTCCTGTTATTCCTGCCTGCTCCTCTAGCTTTTGTACTAGTCTCTTGTGCGGTACTCTGCAAAAAGCCTTCTTACAATCTAAGAAAATGCAGTCTGCAGATCCAACTCTCTCTGTCCTGCCTTCTGTTACTGTCCCTGAAGCCGTGCTGGTTGTCATGTATAAACCTGTTCCTTTCCAGGTGCTCCACCACTCTCCTGATAATCTTCTTCATAGCTTTACATTCTGTACATGTCAGTGGCACTGATCTATAGTTTAGTGCTTCCTTTTCGTCTCTTTCATAAAAACTGGGACTACATTTGCTGTCTTTCAAACCTGTTGCAGTTGCCCTGTTTCGACACACTTATTGAAGGTTGTTTCTAACGGCACACACAGTGCCTCAGCTCTCTCTCTCGGGACCCATAGATATATATTATTTGGTCCCACCGCCTTTTAGGTATCTAACTCATATCAGTTTAGTCGTCACCTCCCTAGACGTGTGTATTGTCTCTAACACTTGCTGGTACAATCTTTTGCCTCCAAGAACACCTCCCTAAATCTCTTGTTGCGCTCTTTACATACTTCCTGGTATTGTGAGCTCTCCATCTTTCTTCTTCACCCTGATTACCTGGCCCCTGACTGTTGTCTTCCTTATGATGTGGCTATGTAACAAATTTGGGTCAGATTTGGCTTTCGATGCTATGTCATTCTCAAATTGCCGTTGAGCCCCCCTCCGTATCCATGCATACTCGTATCTGGCTCTTTGGCTCAGCTCTTTGTTATCCTAAGTTATTTGCCTTCTATACATTTCCATGCACTAGCACATGTTGTGGCTTTGGTCTCTCTACACTTCTGGGTAAACCATGGGCTCACTCTGGTCTTTCCATTGTTTCCATTGTTCCAGGGTACGAAATTATCTGCCTCCCTTCACTTTGTGGCCACGTGTGCCATCATCTCAGTCACTCTCTTTCCCACCAGTTTTCTTTCTCACTGCACCTCAGGAATTATTTTATGCCCGTGCAGGTCCCACTTTCAAAGTTTGTCTTCTCTCCTTCCAGTGTTGCTTCACTCTCTTCTTTTAATTCCACAAGCTATTCGAAACTCAAGACCATGTGATCACTGCGCAGGGGGGGGGGGGGTTAATATGTGTGCACCAAGGAACTCCGGTAGTTTTTGTTCGGGTTGAATCCAGTTATGCTGGAGGAGCCTAGTACAGTTTCACCTGATCTAGAGTCAACCTGACTCTCAACACAATATGCGACGTACAGTTATCTTCGCTTGTATGGAATAGAGTTTCTTGCGAAATTGGAAGAACATCCAACGTAAAACTACGTAAAAAAATTAAGTTCTACTAGCACGAACAAACACAACATATATACATATCATAGCACAAAGTTAAAATAACCAGCATCATTTAGAAATACTATTTAACTCAATAAAAAAAAAACCACTGAAAAGTTCCTGTGGCTGTTCAAGACACTCCGGAAATAAGACCCAGGTCTTTAACAAAAAATCTATGACAGCAAATCTCTAAAACTGAAACAAAATTATGAAAATAATTAAGCAATTATTCAAAACTAAATTCTTTCAAGTACAGAAGTTGAAACTTTTAAACACCACACAAAGTCAAAGTGAGACAACTAGTGGGAGAATTCTCCACTAAATGAGGAAAAAAGTTTATTAAAAATATATTCGATGGATGTAGAAAAGTTTTTTAGAGTTTAATTGTAATAAACTGGGTAAGAGGAGGAAAAATATTTTTACATTTATAATGTATATATAATCAATAACAACACTACGACTAGCCGAGGATTCGAACCCATGTCGTTTTGGTCCGACTCATGGTGAGCTAAATTCACACATGACTAACCCACAGGACCACGCAATCCTACAAGAATCAAGCACCCTGCAGATCTGGGTGATTTGCGCTCGCCAAGAGGCGGGCCAAAACGACATGGGTTCGAATCATCGGCTAGTCGCAGTGTTGTTATTGATTCAATACCACTCGTTCGTGGCTAAATAATAATATATATATATATATATATATATATATATATATATATATATATATATATATATATATATATATATATATAATATATATATATATACGTGCAGTTTTTGCTTAAATGGCAACGCTTTTCTTGACGAATAAGGCAAGCCAAAATTTGTGTATGCAATAATTACTCAAAAGTCATTCTGAACGTAACGGAAATAATATATTTCATTGTATTTATTAAATTATTCTAAACTTATCTAAAATATATTTTGTTGGATTTGGCTAAACTGCGCTTGTTATAATAAGGTTAGGCAAGTTTCCTAAGATTATTTTGGTACAAAATTATTAATTTTTACATTAACATAAATGAAAAAATATATATCTTTCAACGTATGACAGAAAATTTTAGAAAGGATTTAATTTTAAATCAGTTCTTGCCAATTGACAAATTTTACCTATTCGGCACACACACACAATATATATATATATATATATATATATATATATAATATATATATATAATATAAATATATATATATATGTAACCACGAACAAGTGGTATTGAATCAATAACAACGCTACGACTAGCCGAGGATTCGAACCCACGTCGTTTTGGCCCGTCTCATGGTGAGCAAAAATCACACATGACGCTCTAACCTACTGGACCATGCAATCTTACAAGAACCAAGCACCCGGCAAAGCTAGGTGTTTTACCATGATCCGAGGACATACGGTGGTGTGGGTGCCTCTGAGTTAATTTCATTCTACTCCCCGTTTGGTGTACTAGCCTCCACGAGCAGTATTTTATATTGTAACTACGAACAAGTGGTAATGAATCAATAACTACATTGCAAGTAGCCGAGGATTCGTGATTACAAGAATATAAAATACTGCTCGTGGAGGCTAGTACACCAAACAGGGAGTAAAGTGAAATTAGCTCAGAGGCACCCAAACCACGGTATATCCTAGGATCAAGGTAAAACACCTAGCTTTGATGTGTGTTTGGTTCTTGTAGGACTGCGTGGTCTAGTGGGTCAGAGCGTTATGTCTGATTTTCGCTCACCATGCGGCGGGCCAAAATGACATGGGTTCGAATCCTCGGCTAGCCGCATTGTTAATTATATATATATATATATATATATATAATATATATATATATATAATATATATATATATATAATATATATATATATATATAATGTGGCGAAAACGTTCAACTTGCGATTTTGGCTTAAAAAGCAGCGCACTTCTTGCCGAGTAGGGCAAGCGAAAATTTGTATATGCATCTGCCTCCCAGTATGCATGAGGGGGATTACCGATAGACCCCTGGCTGTCTTCAAGCAGGCACTGGACATAAACAAAGTCGGTACCTGACCAACCGGACTGTGGTTCGTACATAGGATTGCGTGCGGCCAGCAGTAACAGCCTGGTTGATCAGGCCCTGATCAACCATGAGGCCTTGTCTCAGACCGGGCCGCGGGGGCATTGACCCCCGAAACCCTCTCCAGATAAACTCCAGGTAATAATTTCGCAAAAATCTTTCCGAACCTAACGATAAATATATATTCATTGTGTTTATTATTTAATCATTGTAATCCTGTATAAAATATATTTAGTAGGATTAGGCTAAATTAAATTGCTCTTGTTATAATATACATAATATATATATATATAATATATATATATATATATATATATATTTATAAATATATATATATATATATATATATATATAATATATTTTTTTTTTTTTCAACAAGCCGCCGTCCCCACCGAGGCAGGGTGACCCAAAAAGAAAGAAAATCCCCAAAAAGAAAATACTTTCATCATCATTCAACACTTTCACTCACACTCGCACATTATCACGTTTTTGGCAGAGGTGCTCTGAACACAACAGTCTAGAAGCATACACATATAAAGATACACAACATATCCCTCCAAAACTGCCAATATCCCAAACCCCTCCTTTAAAGTGCAGGCATTGTACTTCCCATTTCCAGGACTCAAGTCCGACTATATGAAAATAACCGGTTTCCCTGAATCCCTTCACTAAATATTACCCTGCTCACACTCCAACAGATCGTCAGGTCCCAAGTACCATCGTCTCCATTCACTCCTAACACGCTCACGCACGCTTGCTGGAAGTCCAAGTCCTATATATATATATATATATATATATATATATAGTATATATAATATATATATATATATAATATATATATATATATATATATATATATATATGTGGAGCCAGCAAGGTATATATGACACCACGAGTATATCTAATACTTGTAGCTACGTATAGACTATTTAACACACACACACACATACATACACACACGTACTTAGGTTTGGATTATCTCGATACTTTATCTTCAACAGATGAAGGTCACCTTGGTACTACTGATGATGGTCACCGTGTTGGGACTGTGTGTCTCTCATGCACACGTCCACCACAGGCAGGACCGCCAGACTCAAGAACGGACGAAGCCCCTGATTCCAGAAAAGACGCAGCGCCAAGTGCAATACCAGACTTCGTCCGGAACGCAGGACACAAGTTCCTCTCAGACGCTACCTGGGCAGTCGAACGAGACCGCGTCCCTGACGCAGGAACAGACCGCGTCCCAGACACAGCCTCAGACCCAGGGCACCATTCCCTGCCCAGAGACGCTGGCTTCTCAGTGTAGCAGACTATTTTTCTCAGTAACTATATTACCAGATCCCAATGACTGTAGCAGTTACTGCCAATGTACTCAAGCCAATGCAGGAGAAATGGTCACCTGTCCAACGGGATATTACTTCAGTGAAAACCGTAATAAATGTTTGTGGGGAAAGGCGGTAAGCAGAGTGTGTGAGAGAGAGAGAGAGAGAGAGAGAGAGAGAGAGAAAGGTAGAAAGTGAATGAGAGAGAGAGGGACAGAGAAAGAGATGAACAGAGTGAGAGATATTAGCAGACTAGCCATCAATGGTCTATTATCCTGAGTTTATGTAGTTGTCATAGCCTTTAATAATCATGATTAGTACAATGCTGATATATTATTGCTAGAGTTGGTGTAGTTGTTCCTCCACCTGTTCTACAACTGGTGTAGTTCTTCCTCCACCCGCTGGCGACAATCACCTGCCGGTGATTGTCGCCAGCGGCGGAACAATGGCTCAGTTGAAAGCCAACGAAAACGTGAAATACCGACAATAGGTGCTGTATATACGGTGTCCAAACCATACCACGGGCGGGATTTGAACCCGCGGTCAGAGTCTCAAAACTCCAGACCATCGCGTTAGCCACTGGACCAGCTAGCCACAATAAGATTCATCCAACTAGGTATATTTCTACACCATAGGAAGGTTAGCATAGGCACCTCTGTGACCACAAATACAAGTGGTGCCTATGCTAACCTTCCTATGGTGTAGAAATATACCTAGTTGGACGAATCTTATTGTGGCTAGCTGGTCCAGTGGCTAACGCGACGGTCTGGAGTTTTGAGACTCTCTGACCGCGGGTTCTCTCCCCACCCGTGGTATGGTTTGTTTGCAATCGTGTCATTAAGATTTCGTGAGTTATACAGTGTCCTCCTGTGCACAAAATTTTGTTTTATTCCCTATTTTAGGGATTAAAGTATTTTTGCCTTGTAGTGAAAAGCTTACAGCAGTCTTAATAACTCAAGTGTAGCCTATGGGCTTTAAACCCCATTAACTATTCATTAGTGCAGCAGAGTTGTACCGACATGTGCATGATTCTCAGCCAACTGGTCTCCATGGGCGAAGCGGGTGTGGCATGATTCAAGTTGGGGTGCGACTAGAGTACAAATTACGCACACTTGAACTTTTAGGACTCAGCTAGAGAATAACAGACTTGGTGATATCTAGCAGATATAGGTGGAGTTGTTCACTGTAACTGTCAGAGTTTCTCGTATTGTCAGCTTAATGTTTCTGTTCCACAGGTGGATTGCGGCACCCGGGGTACAACCACTACTACTACTACTGCCAAAACAGAGTAGCCTCTACAGCCGCTACTACTACCACACAATAGTAGCCTCCACTACCGCCACTATTACTACCCCAAAATAGTAGCCTTCACCACCACAACTCCGGCAGCCTTCATCATCAATACTGATCTGCACATCAATAATATATTAAATCACATTATAAAAAATACGGGACTGTGCCTGTAACTCCTTTTAACAAATTAAGAAAATCAACTACGATCACCTTCCAAATAGTTCCCTTCTGAGTTGACACACAGTTGCATACGATGCTGCCAACCTTCAAAGCAATTCCACAGATCATTATCTGAATGTCTGTTGAGGATCTCCATCGTTTTTGCTTTCGCATCTACGAACAAAAACAAATGGGGTCCTTTGAACATCGACTTGAACTTTGGGATGAGGTAAAGTTGCTGGGAGGCAGCCAGGTCTGGCGAATAGGTTGGGTGCTCAAGCACAGTGTTGTTTTTATTAGCTAAAAGCTGCTTCACAGACAAAAAGTTGTGGGCTGGCGTGTTGTCTTGGTCCAAATCCACCCGATTCTCCACAATTCTGGTCGTTTCCTTCTCACGCATTCTCGCAATTTCATCAAGACTAAGAGTAATATTGCTGATTTACCGAAAGGCCGCTGGCAACCCACTCTGCCATCATGGTACCCTAGATATGGAAGGAGACAATCAACATGACCTGAAAGTTCGAACGACTCGTGCGTCCTTTTTTTTCTTTTTCTTTTTTTTTTTGGTCTTAGAGATGTTGTTGACATGAACTACATTGACTGTCACTTGGTTTCCGGATCATACGTTAATATCCAAGTTTTATCACAAGTAATTACCGAATTCATCAAATCTTGTTCATCCTCAATACACTGGAAAATATCCAAACAGTTCCTTGCAATGTTCTTTTTGTTCATTTGACAACATTCTTGGAACCATTTTTTGCACAAACCTTTCTCATGTTCAATTCTTCCGTTAGAATGCGTGGAACACTTTCCCTGTCCAAATGACCTTTCTCAGCTACTGCTCGAATACCGAACCTTCTGTCTTTTTGAATCACATCTCGCACTTTTTCTATGTAACTATCGGTAACTGCTGTGCCTTGGCCGCCTGGGCGATCATCTTCACGCTTTCTCTGCCTTCAGAAAATCGTTTATGTCATTCAAAAACGTGCATGAGACATGCATCCTTCACCGTACTTCTCAGTTAATAACTGAAAAGTTTCCGTCGCGGATTTCTTCAGTTTCACAAGATACTTGATGTTAACTCGCTCTTCACTCTGACGTTTTCCGACCGAGGGTAAGAAAACGTTTACATTTGAACGCGTGTCCACTCGTACTGAGTGAAGTGATTGACTTGAACCTTGTCTCATTGTGACACGTTATAACATGTTCCATAATCATCTCTTATTTTTTCTCCCCTCCCACTCTTGCTTCTCCAGCTATAGGCTTAGGCTAGTTTTTTTTTTTTTGTGTCGGATCTCCTGTATTTTGGCTTAAATAGCAACGCTCTTCTTGCCGATTAACACAAGCTAAAATTTGTGTATGCAATAATTTCGAAAAAATATATTTCATTGTGTTTATTTATTGTTAACTTATTCTACTCTAAAATATATATAGTTGATTAACGCTAAATTAGATTGCGCTTGTTATAAGTTAGGTAAGTTTCCTAAGATTCTTTTGGTACAAAATTTTTAATTTTTACATTATCATAAATGAAAAAAATGTATCTATAAACGTATAAGAGAAAATTTTGGACAGGATTTAATTTTAAACGAGTTCTTGCTAATTGACCAATTTTACCTATACGGCACGACACACACACACACACACACGCATAATATAATATATATATATAAATATATATATATATAAATATATATATATATATATATATATATATATATATATATGTCGTGCCGAATATGTAAAACTGACCAATTAGCAAGAACTCATTTAAAATTAAGTCCTTTCTGAAATTTTCTCTTATACGTTTAAAGATATATTTTTTCATTAATGCTGATGTAAAAATTTATAATTTTGCACCAAAAGAATCTTAGAAAACTTACCTAACCTTATTATAACAAGAACAATTTATTTTAGCCTAACCTAACTAAATATATTTTATATTTGTTTACAATAATTTAATGCTAAACAAACACAGTGAAATATATTTTTTTCGTTAGGTTCAGAATGATTTTGGCGAAATTATTGCATACACAAATTTTCGCTTGTCCTATATGGCAAGATGAGCGTTGCTATTTAAGCCAAGATCGCAAGTTGTGCCTACTCGGCACGACATACATACATACATATATATATATATATATATATATATGTATATATTATATATATAATATATTATTGTAACCACGAACGAGTAGTATTGATCATAACAACACTGACTAGCCAAGGATTCGAACCCATGTTGTTTTGGCCCGTCTCATGGTGAGCGAAAACCACATGACGCTCTAACCCACAGGATCACCATCATGTGGGTTTCGATCACCATGAGAGGGCCAAAATAACATGGTTCGAATCCTTGGCTAGTCAGTGTGTGTTATTGATATATATTATATATATATATAATATATATATAATATATAATATATATTATATATATAATATATATATAATATGCATTTTCATTTGCAATTCCCACTGTTACTAAATTAGTTGAAAAAGCAGGAAACACTCTGATGTATACGAATGAATATTGTGGTCATGAGGGAGTCTATTCACATAACATTTGTTCCATACAGTCTCCCCATACAATTGGTTGTTAAATAATAATATACAATAAAGATATTCATAAATCCCTTGTATTAGATGTAATGTCCTCATACGTGAATCCGGTTAACTGTACCATTGATGTTAATACATCAGTTCACTACTAGCGGATGTTTTTGTGTTTTTTATTTCACTCAGTAAAACTCTAAAGTACTAAGGTTCATTTATTTATCTCTGCGTGGCTTGACAGGTGCAGGAACAGCTGTGGCTTGACAGGTGCAGGAACAACTGTGGCTTGACAGGTGTAGGAACAACTGTGGCTTGACAGGTGCAGGAACAACTGTGGCTTGACAGGTGCAGGAACAACTGTGGCTTGACAGGTGCAGGAACAACTGTGCTTGACAGGTGCAGGAACAACTGTGGCTTGTGATAATGAGACCAGATGTTAGGACTGACATAAAGAAGGGGAAGAAGATTGAACTGAAGACAACGAATGTAAAGAAATAAACAAGATTTGAGAAGGCATTCGCAGGCGAACAGAGATGATGAATTATTAAAACTATTAATGAACTGGGCAAAACGGAAGCCGTGTGACCCGACAAAATAACGTTATGGGTGCTGAAACTGCAGAAATAATGATTCGTCCCTTGGCAACAGATCACTGGACGAGGGAAAGCTGCCAGAAAAATGTAGGAAAAAGGGAAAATTGTCTTAATATTCGCACAGAAATAGGCAAACGTCCTTAATTACGCCAGTTTTGTTGACATATATAATACCAAAAGTTCTGGAGTATATTGCAAGGAGAAGGTTGAAGGAGTAACTAGAGACAGAGGAGTATTTGCAAGGGACATCCAACATTGGATTCGGGGAATTGGAAACATGCCTAAAAATTCTTTTGAAGTTCCGTAACAAAGTTAGCAATGTAAATAATAATAGCAATAATAATACTAATAATAATTATTATTAATATTATTAATTATTATTCTTACGGTATTAAAAAGAAGCGCTAAATACAAGTGAGTAGGTGCGACCACAAGTCTCATTCTCCGTCTAACATTCTTGGGACACTCCCTGAAGTTAAGTCAGCTGCAGAAGCTTTTGTCTTCGTATCTACACAGATATGAACAAACTGTTGTTAAACTCACAGCGAGGTATTGTGTTCAAACTAATAACATACGGAATGTGCACTAAGTGATGATAAATTAATAATGTCTTATGATGCTCATGCATTATACTTGCTAGTCTGCAAAACACGTGTAAACAACTTCCTGATTACTGGCTAGGAACTAGTTATCCTACGTCACCGTATTTGTAAGCTCTGACCTGTTCCACAGGATGTGATCCGCTACAGTCGGCTAACACCTGGAACCTATTTACAACTAGGTGAAGAGGAGCAACAGGCGTAAGGAAATATTCCCAACAGCTGAGAATACCTTTTATTTACAAGTGAATTTCAGAGTATAGCACTACAGCTATTTGGTCAGAATAATA